CCAACCGCGAAGGCCGGCCCGACCCAGCACCCCCGGGTGGAGCAGCGCTTGGAAGCAGAAACGCCAGGGCCTTTCCTGGGACCCTCCATCCATCCATCCACCCCCGCGCACAACTTCAGCCCCAGTGCCGCCACGGAGCGGGTGGCTGGCGGGGACACCGTCAGCAGTGCTGCGCAGCCCCACCACCCCAAGGGCTCACCCCAGCCCTCGGCAGAGCGGCCCCGCTGCCGAAACGCAGCGGGAAGAGCAGAGCTGCTCCTCCACCGCAGGGCCCAGGGCAGCCAGAGGCCTTCTGCACTTCACCCCACACAGCCCTCCCCAGCCCCTGGCAGCTCACCGCTCCCTTACGGTCACATCTGAGCAAACCCAACGAAACTAGGCCTCAGGACAATCACAAAACTGCCCCAAAGCAGCGACTGCCCACAATGAGCACAGAGTGACCCCGCTCAGTTTTAACGATCACAACGGCCGCCCCGTTGTTCCACTACAGCCGCATCGCACGGCCTTCTTTCATTCCTTTATTGATAAATGCTTTCCAGACTTCCCAAAGGGGACTGTTCAGCCATAACCAAACCCACAACATACTCGCAACCTAAAACCCTCAGCGTCCCGCGCAGGAGGCGGAGGGCAGCTCTGCTCCAAACATGAAGGAAAAGCTTGTGAGCCCAACGCTGCACCGGGGAAGCGGGAGCTCAGAGCCGGCTCGCTGAGGATCTGTAACGTAGAAAATGCGTTAGCTGACAGGATGCACGGCCCGGGCTGCAGGCCAGCGCGGAATCCTCAACCGGCCGGAGCTGACGGCGCTGAAGGGGCTATTTGGCTTCTTCGCATCCTAGAGGAAGGGGAGACAAGGGGTTACCCACACGCCACTCTGGGCTCCAGAGCTCCCAGCACTACAGGCCGTAAGGATGCCAACAGCCTTCCCAGGGTACAGGGCAGCTGTGGATAAGATCCGTTTCTGACCATCTGACCAGGATCTCAATCCCTTGTGCAGTGAGGCCAGTGCCCGGCGCCGCTGAGGAATACGTGGGTGGAAATCTAAGAGCCCATCATCATCGACTGCTGTGAGCCGGCATCTGCCCACACCTTCCCAAAGTGCTGAGGGTGTCAACTCCAGCCAACTCCAGAAAAATGGACCATCCAGAGGGAGAAGAGCCACCGAAACAATCAAACCCCTTATTCAGAAGTTAAACAAGGGCCAGCTCCAAACACAGGAGACAGCATTCGCTTGGCCAGGCCCCTGCAGCGAGACAACATTCCCAACACCAGCGCTTCGACGCGTGCTGTGGGCAGGCGACTGTCAGGATAAGGAATGGGCATTAACGGCCCGTTCGGCCTCAGTCACTGCATCTTGTGCCTCATTTTACTTCCCAGATGAGCTGTTTCACAGGACTCATCTCAGTACATTCTCCCTCCCAGGCCAGCTGCCAGAACCCCTCAGGGGCTTACGCGGCATCTCTCACGTTCAGCTAACGTAAGGTTTCCCCAGACTGTTTCTAAAGCTTCCCCAGTGAGGATTCTGCTGGGAAAAGCTGCATTAGAGCTGTTTTTGTTTAATTTTAAGGAGTGGCCTAAGCCAAGGGCTGCATCCAGACCCACACGGGCCTCCCACTGGCTGCACACCCTACCAATCATCCTGTATTTACCGATTCAGCTCAGGACTTGGACACTCACCAGGATTCCCGGTTTACGAGGTAGCAGCAACCACGCCCACCTTCTGGGCCGCTTCTTTCTTGGCTTGGTGAGCCTGCAACACCGCTACGGCCTCCTCCACCTTGGGAGACAAGTCACATAGTGAGCCCCATTCCCTCGGCCAAAGCCTCCCGCAATCCCCTTCCGAAGGGACAGCCCGGTTTACCTTCGACCGGAGGGACTCCGGAGACTCCAGCATGTGCAGAAGCTCCGAGTTGTCAATCTCTAGCAGCATTCCCGTGATCTTTCCCGCAAGGCTGGGGTGCATAGCTTGGATCAGAGGGAACAAACGTTCTCCTGGGGAAAAAACAGAGTTCAGACAGCTGAGTTTAAATGAAAAACTCGTCTCACACCTGAGGGGATTCCCACAGTAAAACCCAGCCGGTCCAAACTGGAGCTTCGCTTACCCAGCATCTGTTTCTGCTCCTGGGGAGGGGCAGCAGCCAGCATGGAGGCCGTGAGTGGTTCCTGCCCCTGCACGTGTACTGCAGGCTGAGGTGCCTAGAGAGGGGCAGAAAGAGTTTCTGGGCCAACTGCTCCATATTTAGAGACAATAAGCGATTCCCTCCTCCTAGAACACAGCCTACGCAGACAAGGACAGATCAGGTGCCCTTAGCTCACAGACATGCTGCCTCCAGGTCCTGAACCCCAACCCCTGTAACGTCACATAGGCACTCTAAGGGTCTTACAAACGGGATCAAACACGGCGAGACAAATATCACAACTGAGAAAGAACAACATGGAATCACAGACCAGTTTGGGCAGTAAAGGACCTTAAAGCCCACCCCCTGCCACCCCCTGCCATGGGCAGAGACACCTTCCACCAGACCACGTTCTCCAAGCCTCATCCAGCTTGGCCTTGGACACTCCCCAGGATGGGGCATCCACAGCTTCTCTGGGCAACCTGTCCCAGTGCTCCCCATTCTCTGCAGGAAGAATTCCTTCCTGATGTCCCATCTCCATCTCCCTCTTCCCATTTAAACCCGTCACCCCTTGTCCCTCCCATTACATCCATGCCTGCTTGTACTTCTGTCCAACACCAAGGTTTGGGGAGAAGCAGACTGTGCCAGCAGAGGATGGCAAGGAGGTGAGAGGGTGAACATTTGCAAAAATGGGAAAACGAAGAACCAAACTGGGGTAAAAAAGGGTTTGTGAGTACAATACGGAAAGGAACCACGCTGCCCCACGCAGAAACTGCCGGGTTTTTGAATTCCATATCACGACAGCCTGGGTTAGAACAGTAGCTTGAAGTTTCCTTAAGAAGACTTCAGCTGGATGCAAAACCCACAGCCCAGCCCCGTGTTACCTGCAGGGGCTGGACAGCTGGGTGTGGGCTGCGGACGCTCGAGGCATACTTATATGGAGGAACTGCTCTGGGAGCAGGGGCAGCTACAGGCGGACGAGGAGCTAAATTCTGCGCTGCAGTGCCAACACCTGCAAGAGAGAAGAGAATTACAGACACCTGCAGCAACAGGCAACCAAGCTGGGATGCCCGACACTGACTGCTGAGCTCGGACTGTGCCTCCACAGTCTCCTGCTTCTCTAAAAACTGCTGTCTCCAAAATCCAACCGGCTACTTTAGGAAGGCTGCCCTCCCTGAACAAAACCAGGCACTCCACATCCTGCACTGGAGATACCTCCTAGTTACTCACTGGAATAAAATGAATGTGTGTGTGTTCTACTCAGAAAACAACATCCCTAAGCTACAGAGCCTTTGAGTGGTAAGGGTTGCAGAGGTGTAGCAATGAATCCCGAGGCAGTGGAAAGCAACCCATCTGGATTTCCACTGCTGTGCTGTAGCACCAACTGTCCCCAGACCTGCACTGCACAGCAAGGGACAGCAAAGATTCAGGTGCTGTCTCTGCCCTTTGCTCCAGATAGCCTTTGGTTATCCGTATCCGACAACCAGCTTCGGAAGTAAAGATTAAGTCCCAAAAGCTTCCACCTCCCTCCGAGACAAGGGGAAGAGCCTGGGAGGCAGACACCTTACCAACTCGCTGGGCAGCAGCGGGGAGGCCACGAGAGGCCGGGGCATTGCCGGCAGGGGCCAGATGGCGCAGTGCTGGCCGTGGTCCAGACTGGCGCATGGCATTTGGCATTCCCTGGAAGCCTAATGGAAGAAATGAGGGGAAAGTCCTCAAACCAGAAGTGACTGGCAAGTTAGAACAGTCAGCTACAGCAAGCAGGCTGGGGCTGTGCACGGGAAGGAAATCATGCATTGCTCTTGTTGGAAAGTACAGCCCAGAGGGTCACACAACCAGCGCGCTGTCTCCAGCGTGCTCACCTTGAGGTCTTCCCCCCTGCTGCCAGCGTGGGCTGGGCCTCATCTGCGTCATCTGACTGGGTGCATAGTACGTGGGTCTGCTCTGAGCCTGAGGAAAGACCACACAAGCCGAGAGGCAGTAGCCGAGCGAGTACAACATCAGCTACACCATGCCCAGGGAGGTGCTGCCAGGACTTGACACTCAGTTCCCACTGGAACAGGCAGCTGGAAGTCACAGAATTAACCCCACCGACTGCACCCCTCGTTAAGGGTTATTTGCTTATAGGCATCAGAAAGGCCCAGTGAGATTACTGCAGCTAACCACCACAGCTCCAGCAGGTTAAAAAAAGCCCCACTAGCTCATCTTACCTGGGGCACAGCAGGCATAAAATAGCCGCCGGCAGCAGGCTGGAACTGATTAATGATGGTGTTGGCAGGCAGGGCTCTCATCCCAGCAATGCGCTGCATGTACTGGTTAGTCAGATGGGCCTTTCGCTCTTCCTTCCGTTGTGCAAGTGCAACATACAGCGGCTTTGAGCCCACAATGCGTCCGTTCATCTCTGTCACGGCTTTCGTAGCCTCCTCTGGAGAGGAAAAGCAGACAAAGCCAAACCCTTTGCTCCGTCCATCTTCCAGCATCACCTGCAGTAAAATCAATTGCCAGAGGAGCAGCGTTACAAGAACTCGGCCTGAGACTCCATGGTTTTACAAGTCAGATTAGCTGTTGCAGAGGTGTAGAGACAGGCACTCGAGGCATGAGAAGTCACCTGTCTGGATTTGCTCTGCTCTTCTGTAAGCACCATGTGTCCCCAGGCCTACACTGCACAGTAAGGGATGGGAAAGATTTGGTGCAGCCCCTGAGCACACGCAGGGAAATGCCATTTCCTGTTTCTTGGGAGTCACCTCAAACAAGCATGTTTGCCACTTCCTGCCCCCTCTTTCCATGAGGGAATGAAGTTTTCAGTAAAATCCCACCGAGACCCAGAGAAATCTGGGTGTTCACTAGCCCAGATGCTCTCAGGACCCCGCTGACCAGGGGGATACAAGAACAGCCCTCCAGCCCCGCGTCGGTAACCTAACAGCCTTGGCTTATCCCAGCTCTTCCCATCCTCCCAGGTACCCCCGCTGGAAAACAAAGGGGACTCCATGACTCTTCCCTCATGTCTTCCCAAACATGTCATTGCCAGCTCCTTCTTCAGGCTTCCACATCCCAACAGCCCAGACCCCACGGTACCTTGGCACTCGTTATTGACCCAAAGGGTGAGAACTCCTTCCTCAGTTTTTCATCATCTATAGTGTCATCTAGGTTTTTAATGTATAGGTTAACACCCTAAAGGGGAGACAACAGTGAGACATTTGTAACGCTGAAGAAAATCTCGAGCACATCACTGTGAGCAGCCGTCTGCCTGGGCTACCACTGGTCTGCCATCTCGGCAGTTAGCGCTGTCCCCTTCCTACCCAAGGCAGCAGACGCTGCAGAGGCTACAGACAAGTCCCACCGGGGCAGAGCGAGCTTGCCTGGATTCCCTCTGCTCTCCTGTCGCATCCCATGTCCCAGCCCAGCGTTACGTGTCGCAAGGAGCTGGGAAAGATTCAGATGCCATCTCTGACATGACCCAGCTTTACCATAAATTACAGACAACAGCCTTGGGTTATCCCGGCTCTTCCCGTCCTCCCAGGTACCACCGCTGGAAAACAAAGGGGACTGCGTGACTGTTCCCTCACGTCCTCCCAAACATGTCATTGCCAGGACTATGCCCTGATGCGCCCTCTGCCCCCAGATCCCACGGAGACACCTTCATACTTCAGCTCCTGGGGTATCTCGAGGCCCGCGACTGACCAGTCTGCCAGCCCCGCTCAAGTCTGCCGACAGACTGCCCACCACGCTGCAGCTTAGAAAAGCAACGGACTGTTCACCTGGTACCGGCTGAGTCTCTCTTGTTTTAGCTGTTCAAATTTCCGTTTCAGCTCTGCCTGGCGCTCCACCTTCTTCTGTGCTCGACCTACAAATACCATTTTCCCGTTGATATCCTTTCCATTCATTTCTTCTACTGCCTGGATAAAAGGTTCAAGAGAAAACTGTCAGTTGCTGAAACAAGGCAGCACCTGATCCTGTCAAGAACAGGACTGTACCCCTGCCTGTTGGCCAGCAAACCAAGGCCTTCATGTTCCTTTGCACTGTTTCCATGTGACAACGGCTGATTAGACCAAGTCATCAGGAGAGATGATGCTGACAACACCGAGTGCCGGACTGTCAGCAACTGGGAGTTTATCCCCGCCCCTTCTTGCGGTTAAGGCCAGATTTTAACAAGCATTCTGCTTAGAGATCACCATTTCTAAGCAATGTTCTGACTGTAGATGCCTTCCTCCTCCTGAAGCCCTGCACCATCGTACTTCTTCAGCAGTTAATGCTCTTAATTATACCACTGCATTCTGCGTGGATCTAGCAACCTGGAGAAACGCCAAGTTACCCTCAAATGTCAGGCCAAAAAGGTGCAAAAGGCTTCCAAGTCCCCACATCCAGGGGAGGTTATGCCCAAGGCAGAGTTTTCTCTCATTTTAGTAACAGGCTCCTACACAAAACCAGCAGTTTTTCTTCTCTGAAGACATCCCAGCAGCATAAAAGTCAGCCATACCTTGTTAGCATCTTCATGCTTTTCAAAGCTTACAAAGCCAAAGCCTTTGGATTTTCCAGTGGGGTCTGTCATCACTTTAACACTCAGAGTTTTACCTGTTACCAAGAGACAGGATTAGTAAGACACCATAAAACTTTCAGGACTATTAAACTCCACAGTGAAGCCCCGGCCGCCTCCCTCTCCTCTGCCGGTCTGCCTCCGGCCACCACGTGGCACAGCTACTACCCACACCTCCGCTCTGCGTACTCCTCAGCCGCCAAGCCAGCCTCGTAGAGCTACGGACAGCAGCAGCACGGAAACCGCCACGGGTCAGGAAACGCACCGCCACCGACAGTGTTTCTGCATTTACCATATTTGCTGAAGAGCTCCTTCAGTCTTTCGTCATCCATGTCATCCCCAAAGTTCTTAATATAAACATTGGTGAATTCCCTGGCCTTGGCTCCCAGCTCAGCCTCCCGCTCTTTACGAGACTTGAATCTCCCAACAAACCTGTAAGAAAGAATGAAAAGTCCCACTAAGCAGCTTGTTTTCGAAGTAAAAACACATGTGACTTGCAGCGAGGCAAAAACCGAGCGTGTAGGAGGAGCTGGGAACGGGGACAAGAAAGAGTGACAGAAGGACAAACAGGCCACAGACCAACTGGAAGAGTCACCTGTGCTATGGTGTAGTCGGCCAAGGATGCCCACCCAGCTCTGCAGTAGAGTACTGGCCACAGAAACCCACCCCAGCCCACTCGCAGAGGTGGCAAATCGAGGCTTGGGTTGGGCAACCCACCAGCCCTGCAGTGGGGGGGGAGCAGGCCGTGGCTCGGGCAGGGTCACTCACCAGCCCTGTAGTGGCGAGGCAGCAGGCCAAGGCTGGGGCCAGGAGAACCAGTGCCTGGTGTGTCCCTGTTAATACCGAGAGGCATCACGGTTCATGCGATCGTTGCTGCTTCTGGCTGTGACACTCACACTTTGCGGTCGTTCAGCAGCATGCCGTTCATCTTCTCGATGGCTCGATCTGCCGCATCCTGGGTCTCAAAGTGCACAAATGCGTAGCCCTTCGAGCCATTCTCGTCGCACACCACCTAGACGTGTGAAGGGAGACAGGCTCAGCGCCTCTGCCGTTCAGACACAAGGCCAGCACGCGAAACAGGTCCCTGCAGGGGTCAGCGCTAGGAGGAAGTTCTCTCTGTCTCAGCCCTGCACACTCCACGACCAAGCCTGACACAGGCTCAGCAGTCCCTGACCTGGTCAGTCTGCCTTCAGAGCCTCCACTCCTCGCTCGGTGAAAGGCCCTTTGCCTCCTGCGCTGGACGTGTCTGACCGTGTCACTGCTAGAACAGAACCGGGCAGAGTAACCACAGCTCACCTTGCAGGATAAAATATTCCCAAACGCTGAGAATGTGTCATAAAGGGCCTTGTTATCAATGGATTTGTCCAGGTTCTTAATGAAGACATTCCCAACCCCTGACTTCCTCAAGGAGGGGTCCCTCTGAGACCACATGATGCGAATGGGTTTTCCTTTGATCACATCAAAATTCATGGTATCTAGAGCACGCTCAGCTGCAAGAGAAGTCAAGAACAGATTTCTGTGGTTTGTTACAGAACACAGGTTTCTACACGGGTGATCATTCTCTCTGAATCCTGCTCGCCCCCGGAGGCATTCGGGGCAGTGTCACAGGTGACTCTGTGTCTCAAGGGAGGTTCCTGCAGCGTCACTGCTGCAGCGCAGCGGGTTTCACAGACCAATGTCAGTTTGCACGAGTAACGCGTTCACAACCACAGCCAAACGCCCGGGGTTCACTAATTACATTCTTAATTACTATACAGGGCAATTGCTGCACCCAAAGGAGGAAAGGAAACCCTGGGGGGAACTAGGAAGCGAGAGAAGCAGCTGTTGGGGTGGTTTGGTTTTCATGCAGCTCAAATCCACCTGCGCTCGTTCACAGCGAGAGGGAAGGGTTGTCTCCCTGTCAGGTCAGGGAGAACCGGCACAAACGTGGGACGGGCTGGGGAGACCCAGTCAGCCTCTGTAAACTATTAGGGCCAATGAATGATCCCCGAGTTGCTCAGTGCAACAGTGACAGCAAGAGTGCACGAAACAGAGAATTCCCTGTATCCAACCTCATTGACAGGGAGGGCTTTGAGCTCAAACCCCAGCGCTGCCACCGAAACCTGCACAACCCCCCGCCATGGTTCTATTCCTGCCACCTACGGATCTATTAAAAGCAGCATTGCATACACGCGTCAGGATCTCGCTCGTGAAGCCGAGATGCTGCGGACTGCTCTGCGCCAGAAAACACCCCAGCACGGAATGCTCTGAGGAAAAGAGACTGGCAATTCCCAGTGCAGAACGCTCCGAGGAAAAGAGACTTGCAACTCCCAGCGCGGAGCAGGGAAAGAAAAGGAGAGATGAGCATTAAACCCAGGGAACAGTAACAGGGCAGAGTTAAAAAGTTGAAGTTTGTGTTTTCCAAAGTTGCTTGTCTCAACTATTCCAGGCCACCTTCACCCAGTGGTGCTTGCTGACAAGATTTCAGGAGCAGAAATCCAAGGAAAATACCAATTCTAACACCTTCTCCTTTCATGCAGCTGGTAGTGCAACCAGTGTAACTACTCAGCCCTTCATGGAAGCCTCTAGAACTCGGGCACTGCCTACACCTCTCCTGCACTCCCCACCCCGTCAGGTTCAGCTCCTGCACGGAAGCTTCTCAGAATTCCACGTGCTCTGAAAATGCGTTGTTGCTTTTTAAACTGACGTGGTGGCGTCACTGCTTCCCCCAGTCCCCCACATCCACCCCAGGAGCTCCTTCGCTCCTGATGCGGTCAGGCTTGTGAAGAAAACAAAGATGGTTTGAGGAGAAGCGCTACACCTGCCACAACTCCGGCCACTCCGCTCAGGGGCATTAAATGCCATCAACTGCCTTGCTCAAGCAATTCCTCGGCTGCTCCCCCGACCCAAAGCAACCAAGGTTCGTCCTGCAGCCCATTCCCTCCCCGGGCCAGCCCGTGGAACTTGGCAGCGGTTATTTATAGCAGGGAGAGCTCTTCCAGAGGAATGTGCTGGCAAGGACAGCCAGCAGTTGCACGCACCACCCGCAGCAGCAACGGGGCTCGTGCTGAGCGGGGACAAGCAGCGGCACGCAACCGGAGGGAGCGGTGAAACTGCCGCAGCCCCCGAGACGGGGCGGCGTTACCCCCTCGCCCCCGGCTCTCCCAGGCTCCCCAGGCGCTTATGCAGCTCCGAGCGCACTGCTCCTTCAACAGCTTCCTGCTGTGCTGCTCCCAGGAAGCTCGCACACGGCCCGTGAGCAGCGGGATAAGCAAAGCCCGGGGCGGGTTCCCTGCCGTCCCCACGGGCGGGAATGCAATCCCAGTGCAGCAGCACCTAAGGAAACCTGCCAAGGATCAGCAGGAGTTACGGGAACAACCCTGAGGGGGCACATCCGACTCACGGCCTTACACCGAGCAAACACCTTTTCTTCTGTTTAAGCCATCAAGCTGCAGCCACGGCAGGTCCCGTATCTGTAACCCCCCGGCAACGCTCATCCTGCCAGCAGGCCCAACTGCAACTCGTACATAACATCACACACTCGTAACCCCTTTCAGGCTTCCCATCTGCTCCTCTGCCATAGGCTCCTGGACAGGGAAGGCACACGGACACTCCCTGCAGCTTCCTGAGGCCTCAAAGTGATCTCCCTTACAGGCTCCTGATGTGGAGCAAACACAACGCTGCGGCTGAGCAGCACAAAGACAGCAGCCACCCCCCACCCCAAGATTCACCCGCGCAAAGCTCCGCACAAGGGGCTTCTCCCCTCCGCCGTTCCACACACCTCCGGGCTCTCCCCTCTGCCGCTCCGCAGGAGAGACCCAACGGACCGACACCCCTGGATCCTGGAAATCAGAAAATGCTGCTGGCAACAAGGCACATACACAGGTGCTGACTACACAGCATCTACTCTCCCATCATCCTTTTGGCTACGAAGGGAAGAGACAAAAGGTTTCCCCACTCTCTGCTAATGCCAGCCCGAGGCTCCTTGGCTGGGGAAACGTCCTGCATCCCCTGTACTTCCCGAGCAGCTTCTCTGCAGCCAGAGTGAGTCGCCGTGTTCCCGCTGCTGCCAACGTTACGAATCCCTGGAAGGCAGTTCGGCTGTGAGAAGAACACAGGGAAGAGGCCGTTCCTTTTCTTTCCAATAGGAGTTTGGTTTCTTTCCTTTCTTCATGGTCAAAAAGAAGAAACACGAGGCACCACGGCCGAGCCCCAAGTAGCCAAAACCTCGAGGCTTTTCCTTAACCCGCCCATCACAGCGGGGCAGATTCCGAACCCAGCACCCACCGGTCACCACACCCAGCACCACAATGCGCAGAGCTTGTCCGCACAGACTACATACAGGTCCGGCAGCGTCTGGCCAGGCCCCTCCAGGGCTGAGCATCACGCCATCAGCTGGCAAAACCGCCAAGCGAAAGGGAAACGCTGCGCCAGCTCGGGCACGGGGACTGGGGAAGAGCCGAGCGCCTTCAGGGTGCGACCGCGCTCTCCTCGTGGCCCCATGTAACCGGGGGGTTCTGGCAACTCGACCTGCTCTGCGGTCTCTCTAGTCCCATGGACAGTCTTACTGCCCACACAAAAAAAAAATTAAAACCTTGTTCTCCTCAGATTTCCGAAACACTCATCTTCCCGCAGCCGGTGCGGGGACATGCAAACTGCCACATACCAACCTCTTTAACACCTGCCACCACTTCAGTCCCACCAGCAGCCTCCCTAAACGTCTCCAGCACACAAAGCTCCTCCATTACTTTTACGTGGCCTTTTGTAGCATCTACTACCCCCACCCGTCGGAGCAGATCCTCGCGGTGCCACAGACACCCCAGCTCCTCACAGACTGAGCTAAGCCCAAACATGTTTCTGGTGATGCATTTCTGGAAGAAAACAAGATGCCTGCGTTCAGAAAGCCCCCACAGGCTGCGCTGAGCTCCGCCGCCTCGGCAGCCAAAGGCACATTCCCGCGTCTGACGAGAGGAACTCCGTGTTCACGTCCCTTCGTGACGGAGGGAGCGCAACGCACCCCTGGGCTCACCGTCCCAAGCGCCCCGTCCATGCTCTGCATCAGCGGCCGCCTTTTGCAGCTGCACTTTGGAGGGTTTCAGCGCAGCTCTCGAGGAGGGCAGGAGGCCTTTGGATGTTCCCCCCCACCAGTGACCCACTGATTCGGTGTCCAGCACTTGACCTCCTAAGCCCCACCAGTAACGAGGCACCGCTTGCTTTGCCGCATCACTTGAAGTACCGGGGTTTCCTCCAACGTCTGCGGCCTCCCCAGGAGCCCAGAACGATGCAGCCTCCCTCCGAATCCAGCCTATCTGTCACCACACCAGACCACCCTGAGGTCCATCGGGTCTGTAGGAGGTGCAGCAGTTTCCTGCTAGGGCACACCCACGCGAGGAGCAC